TCCTCTCTTCTTCCTTCGGAGGAACTTTTGGGCGCGGGAATTTCTGAAGCGAAAAAGAATCAGTGGAGGACTTGTAAATAAAAATTAAATAAATAAATAAATAAATAAATAAATAAATAAATAAATAAAAACTAAATCGTAAATAAATAAATAATATTTTATTGAAAATAAATGCAAAGAAGGAGTCTGCTGCGTTTGGCGTTTTTGGGGGGTCCGATGTGTTGCTGAACGCCAAGGGTTTAGGGTTTAGGGTTTGGGGTTTAGGGTTTAGGGTTTGGGGGTTTCAAGAAGAAGAATAAATGACCGAATAAATCATAATAAATAAATTAAAAAACAAATAAAAATCAAATTGAGTTTTATTTGTTTTAATTAATTGCTGATTGTTTTCTTTTTCTAAATCTTTTTTAATTCCTTTTTTTGGCAGTTCTAAAAGCTTGTTTATTTTATTGTTTTCTTCTCCTCACTCTTATTTACATGTTTGTCTTTATTTATTTATTTATTTTTGTATTTATTTATTTATTCATTTGTTTATATTTATTTTGACTGATTTTCCTTTTATTATTTCTTCTATTTGTTTTTATTTGCCTTTTTAAAATGCAATTTATTATGCAATTTATTCACTCTTTCTCATTTTTTGTTTCCAACAATTTGCTTTTTTGCATCTTATTTTTTTATTATTTCCATTTATTTATTTATTACATTTATTTGTTTGTTTGCATGTGTTATTTATCTATTTTTTATTTTTTTAGTATTTATTTATTATTTATTTACTTATAAATTCATTCATTATTTATTTATTATTTATTCATTATTTATTTGTTTATTTTTTTTTATTTTGTTTTTTTAGACTTGCAGTTGTGGATGGACGGATCTAATGGCGGCCTCAGCATTTCTTTCCAAGGAGTTGACGACTAGCAGCAGCAGCAGCAGCAGCAGCAGCAGCAGCATCGGCAGCAGCAGCAGCAGCAGCAGTGGGGGCTAGCATCAGCTGCTGCGGTGACAGCAGCAGCAGCAGCAGCAGCAGCGGCAACGACCCAAGCAGCAGCAGAATTTATAGCTGCTGCTGTTACGCGAGCTGTTCCTGCAGAAGCAGCAGCAGCAGCTGCTGCTGCTGCTGCTGCTGCTGCTTTTGCTGCTGCTGCTCTTGCTGCTCCAGCAGCAGCAACAACAGCAAATTGCCTGCAGATCTATTTTTTCGTTTTGCACACATCTCTTTCCCTCTTGTCCATACACACCAATCATTTCTTTCCGAATTAATTTTATTTATTTATTTATTTCAATTTTATTTATTATTTAACTTTTATTTATTTATTTATTTATTTATTTATTTACATTTTTTTATTTACTGCGGATTTATTTGTTTCCTGAAAACTCCTTTGTGTGCGGAGGGCAAGAGCTGAGAAGTTAGCAAATAAAGGAATGAGCAGAAAAGCAATTAAATAATAAAATAAATAAATAAATAAATAAATAAATAAATAAATAAATAAATAAATAAATAAATAAATAAATGAGCAAAGGCCAAAAAATGGTAAAGAGGCACACTATGGCGGCGAAGCGGCGGGCGAGGGCAGCGGCTGAAAGGCCGCGGAGAGAAGCAAAAAGAGATTTAAATGCGAAATAAAAAAGAGAAATGAATTTGAAATGAAATGAAGATAAAAAATAAATCAAAAAAAGAAGAAAAACGCGGAAATTAAGGAGTTTGCAGAAGCCTCGCCGCTGCGCCGCAGACTTGAGCCAGCGCTTGTCTTCGTCGCTTTTTCGCTTTTTTTGGCCGTTTTTTCCCCTAATTCTCCACTTATTTATTCCCTTGTTTTATTTTTATTCTTTTATTTATTTATTTGCGCAATTTCGCGCGCAAATTCGCCTTTTCGCGGCCTTTGTATCGAGCTTGCTTCCTCGGCTTTCTTCTTCTGTGCTGTCCAGACACCCCGGCGCCCGCTCGCTGCAGCTGCCGCTTTCCAATTATTTCTTCTCGCTTTCCATTTTTATTTATTTCATTTCAATTAAAAGTATAAATAATCAAAGACCGGCGAATTACAAACAATTTGCTGCAGCAGCAGCAGCAGCAGCAAAAGCAGCAACGCCGACACAAGCAGCAGCAGCAGCAGCAGCAGCAGCAGCAGCAGCAGCTGCTACTGCTGTTGTTTACGGGATTTTGTGTGCGCCATATAAAATAAATAATAAAAAGAGTTGAATTAAATAAGTACTTTACTTTTCTTTTGTTTGCTGCTGCAGCGCAGCAAGAGCCTTCTCTGCCGGCACGGCAGCGCCTTGTCTGCTGCTGCTGCTGCTGCTGCTGCTGCTGCTGCTGCTGTGGCTTCTTCAGCAGCAAGATGAATAGACAATAATGAACTAAACTAATATCTAAAAAGCAAAAAAAGAAAACTTTCTAATTAAACAAAATAGTCTTTATAGTAACTCTTTCCCCGGCTCTTTCTGCTGATGCTGCAGCAGCAACTAAGCAGCAAATTGCTGCTGCAGCAGAGCCTTCTGGGCTCTTGCTGGTGGTCGCCCCGAGCGGCGCGGCTGCCAGCAGCAGCAGCAGCAGCGGGAGCCACAGCAGCAGCAGCAGCAGCAGCAGCAGCAGCAGCAGGAACCCTGCGGCGGCGCTCTTGCGGCGCAGCTAGCCCGCGTCCGCTGCTGCTGCTGCAGCAGCCGCAGCAGCAGCAGCAGCAGCGGCGCTGCAGCAGCTCCAAGCCCACCCACAGCAGCAGCGCCGCCGGCACCGGCCCCAGCAGCAGCAGCAGCAGCAGCAGCAGCAGCAGCAGCAGCAGCAGCAGCAGCATTGCTTCGTGGCATGTTATTCAAGAAATCGAAAAGAGCAGCAGCAAACCAATTCGGCCCATGACCCTCAAAAGACTTTTGCGGCTGCAAAACCAAAGCGCTGAAGACAGAGTCAAAACGTCAGTTTTAATTTAATTTAATTTAATTTATTTTGAATTAATTAATTTAATTAAATTAATTTAATTTAATTAATTTAATTAATTTAATTCACTTGATTCATTTTATTCATTTTATTTTATTTCATTTTATTTTGTTTTATTTTGTTTTCTTTTGTTTTGGCTTTTTATTTCTGCTTCATTCGCTGTGCTTGTTTCTCCGGACCTTCCCCCCAAACCCTAAACCCTAAACCCTAAACCCTAAACCCTAAACCCTAAACCCTAAGCCCTCTCCCGAACCCCTCCCCGAAACGCTCAGCAGTTCTCCGCGCTTGCACCGCAAACCCCAACCCCCCCCCGAAGCAGCCCACCCGAAACCCAAACCCCAACCCGAAACCCAAACCCTAAACCCTAAACCCTAAATTAGGGTTTGCGCGCAGGGCGGAGTGGGTGCGGGCGGAACTCCCCGTGCGACTCGCCCACAGACTCTTCGACTTCCACCGGCTGCCCTTCTGCTGCTTTTGCTGCCCCCAATTCAAAAGGGTTTACGAATTATATTTGAACACTTTCCAAACCCTCAAGCAGCAAAAACCCATCACA